ACCGATTCCGGAGAAGAACCATTGATGAGCTCTTCGGATCAATCTCCGGTTGCTTTGGAAACGATAAACCCACCGACGGGATCTATCATCGGTCAGGTTCCGGCAGGTGGTGGTATGACCATGAACCTTGCAACGGCATTGGCGGCAGATCGTCGGCAACTAAACGTGGGATCCAGGGATGGATTGAAGACGACGAAGCCATTGAAATCCATAGTGAGACTGTTTGAAGGAATGGACGGCAGCAGGGTTGTTAAGGTAGCGGAGAATGACGCCGATGACAACGGCAGCGGCGTGAGAGGGATTGGTAGCATGTGCTGCTTGTGCACAGAGAGAAACAAAGGTGCGGCGTTGATCCCCTGTGGGCACACCTACTGTAGGGTGTGTTCCAGAGCGATGTGGTCGAAGCAAGGGTCGTGTCCTCTTTGTAACCGTTCGATTACGGAGATCCTCGAAATTTTCTAAAAGTCTGATGTTTTTGAAAAAAGAAAATGGAGAAAAAGAATTAAGAGGGTGGAAAGTGTCAATTAGAGAAATATTGAATGGGATTATGCAGTAATCATGTAAGAATTCCCGCTCGATCCCTTCCAATAATCCGTAGATATTTCAGGTGAAACGTGATTTCCTCAACTCATTTTATGGTAAAAATCGAACTTTTGCTACATATTTTTATATTATTCAGATGAATATTAAAAATATGTTGTTCCATATACTCATTTATCCGTAGTACCAAAAGAATAAGGTATTAAAAAAACGATTCGAAATTGGTTGATGGTTAATTGGTTATTTTATATGATGTATCAAAATCACAAATATTGTCTATGCAGTGTGAGATGTATCGTCCCACATATCAGTCGTTCATGAATTGACATTTATTCAAGTCATGTGCAACTCATAGGTTGGCAGGGGACTAGGGGTTTGGGTTGTGTATAGTTTTCGGGTTTCAAATAGTATTCAGGTTCCAAATAATTCGAGTCGTAGTTTGAGTTTTTTCAAATACAAAAAATAATTGATAACCAAACTGTATATGATTTGGGTATGCATATATGGGTAATTTGGGTATTAGGTTGGATTCGGGAATATCGAATATTACTTGAAAAAAGTTATTAAAAGTTAAATAAATAAAAAATCAGCATTTTACGTTAACTGCAAGGACCGATTGTTTAACTTAATTTTCGGTTAAAAAAAAGTAAATGGTCTTTTTTCTTAGCCATCCGGAATACTTATCAGAAAGCTATGTATTTGCCACGGTGGAAGACCACCACAACCAACCACACCAGCTTGTTGCGTCCTTGTGGTCATAGTCGTGATGGATTGTGGTAACAACAATGGCGAATGGGATAAGGCTCGATGTATTTTACTATCACTAGCTGTTTACAACAATTATTACTTTAATTTAAAATAATAATAATAATAATAATAATAAACACATCATTCCTATAAATACCATACTACACTACATTTTTTCATACCATTCTTCTCTTGGTTTACTACATATACACATACATCTTTTTAAAAGCAAAACACTTTACTATGGATCGAAATTTCAAACATTTCACCAACAAATCAAAACTGTAATTTTGAAAATCATTTTGGGCTAGACACAACACCCCCAAATATTCGAACATAGAGACACCCCAATGTGGTTTTGTAAACTTGCTCTAAAGCATATCTTATATCCAACAAACACCATTTTTTCTACGACAATAACAACCTTTCCAACCTTATCTACAATCATTTAAATCCGTTTTTGTATTTCAACAACCTTACCAAACATAATCACAACCAAGACCTTCATAAGCAATTCACAATTGGATTCTCCAAAATTGGTTGCAGAAACGCAAAGAGGACAACTTGTTGGTGATTTATGTTATCAATGTTATTTAAGTGTAATGAGATTAACTTGTTGACCACTTTGATATTGACAAATATTTAACAAGTAAGGGTGGTGCGGAGTGCACACTTGTTTGAGTTTGTCTTTATTCAAAGTACATTATTATTTAGAGGCGAACCCCTGAATCATAGGACTCTAGGGGCAATGCCCTTAGTAACGTGGTCAAAGGGGTAGAGCACTAACTAGGGTCGAAATGAAAATTTGAGAATTTTGATCTTGACGGTTTTACCCATGTCATGGAACCGATTTAAGGTAGTTTAATGACGGTTTTGTGGTAGTTTGTAACTGTCAATATGACAGTTTATTGACAGTTTTTGGACTAGGAGTTATATCCTATTTTTGGTCATTTAACGTCTATCATTATATGTTCAATCATTGTCAAACATGGTATCAGAGCCCTAACTGATATTGGTACTCTTGCCGACCCTACTTCTCTTCTTCTTCCCCACATCTTCTCTTCCTCTTCTTTCTTTCTTCCTGTGACCGGTTATTGCAGACAAAGGCAAGCCTTTCACTTGCACCAACATCAAGTCCTATGTTCCCCTCCTACTTAATCTCAATGAATTGAATTATGATGCATGACGTGAACTCTTCTATACTCACAGTTGTGCATATGGTGTTTATGGCTACCTCGATGTTACCACCAAACCCAAGGATCCAATTGGTGCCGACCGGGACAACCTCGACAACTTGGTCAAATCTTGGTTGTAGGATACTATGACACAATCCATTTTCACTATGATCCTCAAACCTAATTCTACCACCAACTCTATCTGGACCGATCTTGAAGCTCTATTCAGGGACAACAAACACTCACGAGCCATTGAACTAAATAATGAGTTGCGTTCGTTGGTACAAGGTGACCGCTCCGTTACCGATTACTGTCAAAAAAGGAAGGCCATTACAGACCTGTTGGCAAACATAGACGCATTGGTAACGGAGAAAACCCTTGTCACATACATGCTCAATGGTCTATCTCCAAAGTTTGAGAACATCTCCATGCTTATATGTCACAAAGACCCACCTCCTTCCTTATTGGAGGCCCGATCAACCCTTGTTTCTAAGGATATTTGTGTCAACCGCCATCACTTATCTACTCAGCTCATTCCGATCATGCCTTCACCCCTCAAGTTCTCCTAACTGGAAACAACAACAAGCCTGACTTGCACAACCAACATAACTGATGCTCTTCAAACCAGCGTATTGGAGATCCCTCCAATAAGAGAATGTCTCAACCCTTTTCGTTGCAACTTGCTACTAGTGCATGCTACCCCTATCCCATCCTTGGTCTCCATACTACTACCCATAGGTTGTGTATGGTTGGCCTGCTTCTCCACCATGGGTCGTTCCCCTCCCATTACAGAACCTCCAAAAGCAGCGTCGCCAACCACCGCCTGACGTTACACTCATCAAGCACCCGACGAGTCCTTCAAGCCCATCTTTTTCTCTAGTCGCATACCACGCTACTGCTAATCCCAAATCCATTATGCCACCATGGCAGTGGTTTCCACCAATCCCATCCGATTAGCCAACTGAATTACCCGCAACATTCAACACCATGACACCCACTGATCCCAGAGATGTAAGTTGGTACATGGATATGGGTGCAACTTCCCATCTTGAGTATGATGCAGATACTCTCTCTTCCCTTAGTAATAAGTGTACTTATAATTTGGTTTTTGTTATGTCACACCCCCGACCGGCGGCGGAAACGTCGGGATACGCGACGCTAGGGATATTGGATCACAATTATTGAACATACATTGAACAGTACAAAACAAGACGTAATATAAACATCATTTTCATTTATAGGAAAAAAATTAGATCATAAAATGTTTTGGAAGTATTGAAATTTCTAGTGCTAGAGGTGCCTTGACAGTTAGGCATAACTATGACGATAATAGGTCTTTAGTAGCTTCGTCGATCAACCATTGCTTCTGAAGGTGCAATATTCCATTATTTGGTATTCCTAGGAATACATATGGTTTGGAGATGTCAACACAATGTTGGTGAATTGACAGGTTTTGTAGCATCCGAAACCTTGAGGTACTTCAATTCTTGAATATTTGCATTTTGGAGGAGGCTCACGACATAAGTGATAGTGGTCACGACGTGAGAGTGACCATTAACTATTTGACCCACATTTTCGAACCTCACGATGTGAGACATAAGGTCTCACAATGTGAGCCAGACCTGATGACATAGACCCTAGTTTTCGAGTATTTTAAGGAATAAGAGAGTTAGGGTTGCCATCCTTAACCTCTCTCACTCTTTAGCCCCTTGAAACCCCTAAATTGGACATCCTTGAGACCTTTGTCCATTGTTGGTGATCTTGAAGAGCTTACTTGGAGGCTTTCGGTTCTTTAAAGTGGAAGAAGGCTCTTATGGTGCTTCAATTTGGCAATCTAGTTTCTACATCTTGGTCTTGCTAAGCTTTTGGGCATTTGTAATTCATAAAGCTCTTACCTTTTTGCCTCATGCATGCTAGATCTAAGATTTGGAGCCTTTCTTTGCATGGTTGGGTTGTAAACATGCATGATATCCATAAAGTTGGCAAGTTTATGGATCATTGAGACATCTTCTATATGTGAGTCCTTGGATATGAGTTTTGGTGTTGGTTTTGGACTCCAAGCATGAGTCTTGATCTTATTACCTTTATTTTGACCTAGTTAGTGTCTAAGTCATGCATTGGATATGAATGATTGAAAAGCTACGATTTTTATGGTCCTTAGGGTCAACGGATGTGCTCTGGAAAGTCCCAAAGTATGTCTTAAAGTTTTAAGAGCTTAATATTCAAAGTTGGTCAAAACCAATCTCACAACGTAAGAAATGGAATCTCACAACGTGAGCAAGGTGGTTGTCCTGATTTGAGGATTCTGTTGGATGAGTAAAACTGAGTAGACTCGTTGAGTGGGACTGGATCGAGTCCATCCTCATGATGCGAGCCTTAATGGTCATGACGTGAGGGTGGACTCAGGGGAAAGTTGACATTTAACCCTAGATGTTGACTTTTGATCAAAGTTGACTTTCGGTCAACTCTTGGTTTTGAAGGGTATACTTAAGGTTTGCCTTGCATGATTATCTAGGTATGGAGTAGCACCGGTGTAGCAGATCGTGTGAGCAACATTAGTTGATTATCGAGTGAGATGTGAGTTTCATTCTATGTACTCGTGGGTCGAAGACACCAAGTCCAACCTACTAGATTATGTTTGTAGGATGGTGATTGTCTTCGTGACAATTACATGTTATATCTGTATATGATTGATGTCTCTGTGGCTTGTACTGATATGTATGCATTTTAGTTACAGGGGTGAAATAGACCCGATACCGGTTAAAAGAGACCGAAGGTGGTTGAAATATACCCAGTACCGATTGAAAGAGATCGAAGGGGTTGGAATATACCCAGTATTGGTTGAAAGAGACCGAAGGGGTTGGAATAGACTCAGTACTAGTTGAAAGAGGTCGAAGGAGTTGAAATATACTCAGATAGGTTTGATTGTATGTATGTATGGTATGGGGTATTTTGGGGGAGCTCACTAAGCTTTGTACTTACAATTTTCAGTTTATGTTT